ATTTACCATTTACATTTTTGATTTGTTGTTGTGAAATCATCTCACCATCCCCATGTAGGCGCCATATGTTTCCATTGTGGCGATGCCTCCGTGCTTCATGATCCACTCGTACGCTCTCCACTCCTCCCCGCCATCGCAGCCGTTATTACCGAAACCCCAGGAGCAGTCGATCAGCATCTGCTGAGACAGAACCTGCAGAGAGCCCGTCTGAAAGACACGAGCAAAAGTATGATTACACTCGGCATTACCTCAGCAGCCTGCGCTTACTCTGCACTAATCATGAATCAAACTGTAATAAAATGCAGACATTTTAATCCACTGATCCATTTTATTGACATTTGATTATATGAAACACAAACAAGACAGCTAAACATTTATAATCTGCTTTCATTCCTACACCATTTTTACTCCAGCTGCAATCTACAGGTTTCTAGGCAGATGCTGTGAGATCACGAAGAACTAAATTCAAAGCGTGCCCCCCACTGAGTGGCTCTGTTTATGAACCTGCCCGTGGGGAAAGGGTCACTGCATCGCTCAGGTTCAAAGACGACCTGCTGCAGCCTCACAGCAGTACTTCCTCCTAGCCAAAACAAACTGTTCTTGCAATTATTGCAAAGCAATTAGCAGTTCAAGCTGCTTTACCTCAGTGAGAAATGTTAAGATTATTACACGGATGAATTCCTTACATTTATATATTTATACATCGTTAAACAAGAAGTAGCTACAGAGACCAAAACCAGACCTTAAAAACATGTTTTGGTGTAAAGTTGGACATTTTTGCATGGAAGTCTATCACGACCACTGACAGTGTGAAACAAGGACGTAACTACTATAAAGTTGCCTACTGCATTGTGAAATCTCATTGCAACATCATCTTGGTGCTTTGAACCACATGTGACAGCGAGGGGTAATCTGACCATGAAACCGCGCTGATGCCAAAGAGCATGTCCGGGAAAATCCTCCTTTCTGACACTTCAAATGACTAAAATTTACAAAAGGGATAAAGATTTATGGGCTCTTCTCCTACAGACTTTTCTAAGGCAGGAGTATTTTTAAAATCACAGATATCACTTCCCCGGTGGCTTTAAAAAAGAATAAACTTGCAGTTGCTTCACTTTTCAGACCCAGAAGCTCTATCAATCTTTTATACTTGAGTGAATTGCCTTTGGAGCCAGTCTCAAGGGGTTCACTTCCACATTCACTTTACTTTTCGACCCTGGATTTCGGTGTTCGTTATGTACTTTGCATTTTCTGATCAGTAATTTAAAACTAGATGAGTAAATAAATACTAAGATCAGATTTTACTGATACTCAGTGGGAAATTTCCAAGTTTTCCAGCAGCACCTTAAGTATACTGCAATGCAAAAACATTTTACTTCAGTTAATGTTTAAATGTTGTTGCTGCACTGCGATGAAGCAGGAGCTTTAATGTAAGTATTAGCCCTGAGACTTCCTCCATCACTGGACCTCAGCCTAGGAGTTACAGAGCTACAGGCCAGGGGCAAGACACATAATTAAGAGTCTCCTATGTGAGGCAGAGACACAGAATTCGGTCACTTCAATGGGGTGCCGTCAAGTCCCAATAAACTGATCCTATGTTTGGATCAAGTTGCTAGGCAACATGGGATAAGGAATGCCTTTGAGCTCAGCTTTCTACAGGATGGAGGCAGCCCAAAGCTGACGTCCCCTCAGACTCATTCATTCACACAGACACACACACTGTAAAGCCCGTCCAACACGACTGAAGTTACACAATGAATCTTCCTGTGGATCTCTCCCCAAAAGGAGGGCTGCACTTCAGAGAGAAGGATGTTTGTTTGTTTTTTTGTTTTTTAAAAAAGGTCAGTAGACTCAAAAAGCGGCACTACGCTGAATAAATGTGACAGACTGTCATATCTATCTATCTAATTTACAAATGGTTATTTTTAATTTTGCAAATAATTCTGCTGGTTTTGTCACATAGAATCTATATCAATCCTGCACCTTGAATAATTTGCATCTTTGCATTTTATTCATTTCACTGGGCGTATTCTTCTGCCTGCACGAACCACTTCAATACAAGGAGTATTAAAATAAAACCTAATTTCTCCCTAAAACATCAGAAACTATAGATTTATACCAAACGTAACTGCAATGGAAATAAACCCAAACAAGAACAGATGAAGCATCAAGCTGAGCATCTGCGGCTTCAAAGAGAATAGGGAAGGAGCCCCATTATTCGAAGACACTGGAATGGGGCCAAGGACTGTGCAGCAAGCTGCCTCCTGACCTTTTTACCTTTAAGAAGAGAGCGCCCTCTACTGCTCCAGTGGTGGCAAAGCTCCAGCAGGAGCCACAGATGGCCTGGTCCTTTACTGGGGTCACGGCGCCTGGGAGGCCAGAGTTAAGGTGAAAAAACAAACCTTCCTCACAGATGCATCTTTGGTGAATATTTAAAGCTTATACACACCATAAAGCCTCCAGTCGAGTGACTCGGGAAGATTTACTCTTTCGTAAGCTTTGAAGGGGAAGGGGAGCCCTCTGTTTGGGGTCTTTCCCCTTTTTCTTCCCCTCATGGTTGCCAGCTCAGACATGGTGCGATCTGACAGAGAGTTCAGAGCCAGAGAGAAAGACATGCCCGCTCTGTTCTTAGAGTGAATGTACCTAGAAAAACAGGAAACCAGTCAGACACACCGCTGAAAAACTACTACTAAAGCTGTAGCCTTACAATTATTATTAAAGTATTAAATGTTGCTCTCACCGTAGGTTAAGAACAAAAGCATGCTCCCTCTTCTCGTGCTCCCTTTCATCGTTGTACTGCCGCTGGAACTTGTCCTTGAAATGGCTGAACATGCGCTGTGACTGGCCTGACGCTGAGGTGTGGATGAGATCTTTCATTGGATTGGCCAACATATGGTGCTCCACTCCAGGACCAGGAAACCCACCACAACTCATGCCTGTATAGAAACACAACAACAAGGAGTTTTTGTTTTTGTTTTGTCCTCTGAATCTTCCAAAAGGTCGAGCAGGTATATTTTTACACAAACCTTCAGGCAGCAGGAAGACTTTGGGGTTCACCTCAGTGCTGAACTCCTTGTATTCCACCAAGTACTTGTCGTAATGGGACCCCAGCAGAGTGTTGTATCCCATCATCTCATAGTGAATGGGAATGGGGTTGTCTTTTCCTCCATCTGCACCTCGCTCTGAATGTGTCACCCACAGTGTGTACGTGTTCTTCTTGTAACCCACAGTGGTCACATTCTGCCAGACTTCACACAGGGA